TGTGACCCCAAACTTTTGAGCGGTAGTGTATGTTCTTAACCAAAAGAGTTAAGTTCATAATCTTTGTATGTTAATTTCTTCCTTTTTTTTCAATGGGTGTGATAAAGGAAGAACCAATCGTCTATCTGTATATCCTGTGGAATTGGAAATGTCTAGCTAGACAAAGCTGTCGTAATGAACATTTTGATGGAGATGACTGATTTATTGTGTAACTGTGAAAATAAGAATAAAAAATAGAATTGAAAAAATATAAATAAATGTGGAAATTTCTATTATATGAGTGAAATTCCCATTTTTTTCAGGTTCCTACCTTGCTGTACCAGTTAAGGCAGGGCTGCACCACATCAGGGTCCTCAATGCCGTGCAGCTCGATGTACCAGATGCTGAAGTTAAAACTGGGCCCCCACGACATTAGAGGCACTGAGACGGACAGGGAGAAAAGATTCAGAGCAATAAAAGAACAGAGGAGTAAAAAAGAAAAAATAGATGGAAGCTAAGAGAGCGGTGCTGCTATTACCTATTTTCACAAATCTGCAGGGAAACATCTGCTCGTCGATTTTATGCTTTAATGTGAAGGTCTCCTTGTTGTAGTCATTCTTAAGGCCACTGGGACACAAGCAGAGAGACGGAGGGTCAGTTCTCAGATGCTGTTTGCACGTTACTGCATTAATGCTGCATCCATCAATGTTGAAAGCAAAGAAAAATAAAAAAATCCAGAAAAAATAAACTTTGAAAATAGTCATTTTCATAAAGTAATTTTTTCTGATTTTATTGTTTGTTTTCCTCCCATATTAATAAAAACATTTTAATATCCAATCCCCTCCCCAAACCTCCATTTTTAACTTTTACGAATCATATCCTCTTCCCTTCAGGGGGCGGGCTTTTCTATAGGTCTACTGGATGTTAGCGATAACGCGTTATTGGTCAGGAGCGAGTGTTTAGATTGGGCCTAAAGTCCAGAAAATGCAATATTCAAAAAAGAAAGCAATTTGTAAAACTTAATCTGAAAGAAAAATATAAAATATATATATATATAAAAAATATGAGATCAAAATTAAAATCCACCACCTCCTTATCCTGGTTAAATGACAGTTAAATGTACTGAAGATTTAAAAAAATAGGTCAGCAGTGGGCGGAGCCTCTCACCTGGATAAAAGCTCTGTCATGTTCTCCTCACTCATCCCTCCAAACACTTTGAACTTCTTCAGGTTGCAGACGTGGGTCTTCTCATACTTGCCAAAGGTGATGCTCTGAACGATGGCCGGCCTCTCCAACTTCAAGATTAAAAACTGGAGCGAAAGAGACGAAGAGAAGCATGAATCTGTGCAGGAAAAACCGCGCTGCTATTGGTCGGACTGTCCATCAATAAGCAACAGCAGGGAAAAAAAAAAACGAAAGAAAAAAAAACAATGGAGGAGGATTAAGTGATTTTATTCACATCACTGCAACATCTCCAATGCTCATTAGTCATAATCGATTTTGCCAAAAATCTAAATTGCGATTCATTTCAACTAATATCGCAATTATTGCGATTCACATTAGCACTTGGCACACATATGGAGATGTTTCACTTGAGGGTTTCATTCATGTAAAAAAGTTTGTACTTCAATTCTGTGCAGTGGCAAAACAATTTTAAGCATCTTACCGCCACCTAAAGGCTGGAGGGAGAACATACCTCATTTAATTCTCTTACTCTTGTTAAATGTTGTGCCACTAAAATTGAGGGTCTCTGCAATTTGAGGATTGCATTTCGCTAAATTGCAATTTTCTTGCAAATGCAAT